GATACAGTAAACTATTGTGTTGTGTGAGATATAGTAAACTATTGTGTTGTGTGAGATATAGTAAACTATTTCACACAACACAATAGTTTACTATATCTCACACAACACGATATAGTAAATCGTTTGTACCAGAATGAGAAAGATCGATAGTTCACTATTCTTATGTTCTGGTACTTTGTTTAATCACATATTACGTAGTTCGTACATTATTCTGTTCTTGATATCTGTTTCTTTAATGTGTAAAGCATAAAACATACCACATCTGTACTAAGGGTGGCTAGTACGATATGCAACCATGAAAATTTGTTACTCATTGTGTCAAACATAACATTTATCTTACTTCTACTAAGTATGATTTTTTAAAACTATTCAACTTCACATTATGTTGCTTTTCTTGTTCGTTGACAAACGTTATTATTGAGGGTTTGTTTCAGAAATATTACTTGTTAGTTAATACGTTCACTCTGATACACTACTCTTGAAGATTTAGTTAGAAACATCACTTCTATATTAGAAACATTCATTGTTATAATCTAGTGTTGAAGACTTCCGTTACTTGTATATTAGAAACATTCATTGTTATAATCTAGTGTTGAAGACTTCCGTTACTAATATAAAGTAACGGAAGTCTTCAACACTAGATTTTAACAATGAATGTTTCTTTATATTAGAAACGTTTGTTGTTTACCGTTTTATTGAAAACTTTCATTCGTGACTACATCTGCAGAAGTATAAACGTTTAATAACGTTTTAAATAATTAAACAAGTAATGTAGATATTTACTGATATAAAAAAACTGAAATAACTTCATAAATGTTTATAAAGGGGTTATAAAGAAACCCCATAGTGTGTCGTGCGGCCAAAGCAACCTGTACGACACACTGTATGCTATTAACAGGAGTGAAGTTTAGCAATTTTCCACTGTCTGTACGTCGGACTGTGGTAATCCAAACTATCACATATTTTTACTGGATATGCTCTACTTCACATACCAAATTTTAATGCAATCCCTTAAGAAATACCTGAGATATAAAATATCCAATTTTGACTGGATTTATTCCTTTTTTTTTGCACTGAAATTAGGGGAACTTTATTTGGTAGAAAAAAACATATTTAACTTTTATGGATTCTTTAAAATTTTTTACAACCTACAATTAGGTATTAAATTTGGTCTAAATATAAGTCAAACGTGCAAAGTTATTCAACAAAAACCATTTAAATTTTGACCAAAATCTTTTCGCATGCCTACTCAAATAGTCACGTGAGCTATCGGTCTAACGTTTTTACTACAGCTTTATCTAAGAGTAAAAGTGGATAGTTTTTAGTTTTCTTGTCATTCTGGTTAAAGGTGGCTGAGTTAGAGAAGCAAAACTATAGGGTGAAAGCACGTGCAGATACATTAGGCAAAGCAAATTAGATTAGCAGTTTCTAGCTCAAGTTTTTAAAAGAATCATACAGGTGGACGGTTATTTCTCATTATTCATTGCCAACGTTTAAGCACAAATTTGCTTAATTTTATGATATTCTCCTAATTAAACAGCGTTTAGCGTCACGTGATATTAGCTTAAGCAAATAGCGTGAATAATGATGCTTGAAACGGCTTTACCGAGTATATGCGGGTGATGAAAAGAAACTGTTAATCTAGATTCCATGGCGTTACTATAAAGGAAGTTATTAACACTGATTTAGAGAAGAAAAATTACTACCGTATATTTTAAAGCATGTGGTTCGTTCTGTAAAGTATAGATCTCTTCCGAATAATAGGGTTGCGATCCTAAAGCTAATGTTGGTTATTATCGACTGTCATTTTCTTATTTGCTGTGGTTTGTTGGTGGGAATTAACAAAAAAATCATGATATCTAATCAAAAACACCTTAAGTGTGAAAAAAGGTGTGGCCAAAAACGGATTGAGTGTGCGGCTTAAAGAAATGAAATCAAAATTGGCGGCCAATCTGGTAGCTACACTTATAACATTAATAAGAATTTTACAGCCAATATTCATTCATTAGTTAGCTAGGCCGCGTTTTTATTTTACTCACTAACACGCCCAAAGTTGAACAAAAAAAGTGGCCTAGCTAACTAATGAATGAATATTTGCTGTAAAATTCTTATTAATGTTATAAGTGTAGCTACCAGATTGGCCGCCAATTTTGATTTCATTTCTATAAGTCGCACACTCAATCCGTTTTTGTTTGTTTGTTTTTGATTAGATAATCTATATTAGAAGGCAGGGTTTGTTATCGACAATTTTCGATCATGAGATTCAAGTATGAGGATCACAAAAACTACAGTCATCAGCTGGTAATTGATATTAACTTTCGATTACACCAAGTTGTGTACTTAGAGCGAAACTAAAAATCATCCTGCCAATCAGTATTTCTTATTAACTATACGTCTCTTACTTTTCTATTTATAAAGACTAGAATGGATTGTTACGTACTCTCGCTGTTAATGATATTTACGGCCGTAAACCCAATAATATCTTATGAGGTTCTGCTTCTTTTGGAAATTGAAGTTAGTCTTAAATAAATATATTAAGCTAACAATGCAAAATAATCATTATAATAAACAATAAACCAAAATAAAAAGTAACGGCATTCAATATAATAAGTAGTATTATGAATATTGTGAACGAAAGTAACGATAAACAAATCATATAACCTACCTTATGTAGGAAATACAGGAACACTAGCTGTATGCTTGAAGTACTGTCGTAGAATAAAATGGTTTAGAAGTACTGTTTTCTTGTTGCTGAAATTATATTCAGTTAGTGACATAGTTAAAATGAACCTATATGGTTTTATGCTGCTGAAGGTATATTAAGTTAGTGACATAGTTAACATGAACCTATATGGTTTTATGCTGCTGAAGGTGTATTAAGTTGGTGACATAGCTAACATGAACCTATATGGTTTTATGCTGCTGAAGGTATATTAAGTTGGTGACATAGTTAACATGAACCTATATGGTTTTATGCTGCTGAAGGTATATTAAGTTGGTGACATAGTTAACATGAACCTATATGGTTTTATGCTGCTGAAGGTATATTAAGTTAGTGACATAGTTAACATGAACCTATATGGTTTTATGTTGCTGAAGGTATATTAAGTTAGTGACATAGTTAACATGAACCTATATGGTTTTATGATGCTGAAGGTATATTAAGTTAGTGACATAGTTAACATGAACCTATATGGTTTTATGCTGCTGAAGGTATATTAGATTAGTGACATAGTTAACATGAACCTATATGGTTTTATGTTGCTGAAGGTATATTAAGTTGGTTATATTTTCCGATTTTTAGTTGTAAAATTAAAAAAAATGATAATGATTTGATATATAAGATAACCAATTTATAACTTTATGTTTTGTTCAGTTTTTCAGGTTTTTGAGATCTGAAACATGTCTGACGAAGAGCGAGAAGAATATAGGTTAGTATAGAATTTTCTAAAGTTTAATTTATATTGAAAAACTGTTTGATATTATATAGAATATTTCATTTATTACCATGGCTATATTACTTCTATGTTAAATTCTTATATTTTAAATGTTTCGTTTCAAGTTTGAGATAAATTTAATGGACTAAACCTACCATAGGGATTAATCTTTGAACGATTACAGTACAATTTATTTATTTAAAAGTAAGAAATAAATATAATATCCACACCCATCAGGGGTGTAGGAAGGAGTTACAAAGTGGGGTTCTTGTTAGCTTTTATAATGAGAGATTGTAAGTATGAGGAGCTGCTTTTAGTAAAGGTAGCTCAATCTACACCCCCCCCCCCCCAGAAAAGTAATATAATAATATAACTTAATAGTTGCTATATAAGTCAAATATGTAAAAGTAGGGGTGCTACAACAACCCCGGTTCTGACACCTCTGCACATTATTTTTGTCGTGTATTTGTGGCTTATTAGCAAACAAAAAAACATTTCTAGAAACATGAGTAGAAGATAAATAAGAACCTTTACTAAAAACGCTGTAGTATTAGAAATAAGAGCAGCTGGAGGGTGGTGACTAACAATACTGTAAAGAGGAAAGAAATACCGCTAAGCCTACTTTCAGAACCTAGAATAACAATCTTATGTTAACGTAAGTTTAGAAAAAAGCAGGTTTAAGAACGACTGTATTAAAAACAGTATATAAATATCTTATGCTGGCACCATGCTAAGTTACCAAATTAGTATCCAGGCCAGAGAACTGCTGCGTTTATTAATAGTGCTGGTTTAATCCTTACTTTCTTCAATCTGATATCTTAAATTAAACATTAGCTGAAGAATGTATCCCAGAGAGTCTTTAATCTACGTGTGTTGTATTTCTAAACGAAATCCCCACCATCAATATTTTTTGAGATACGTTAACATTTTGTTTCTACATAGTATATGAAACTCATTAATAAAATGAAACTTTAAATGGTGGAAAATATCATAACTAAGCACCTCCTTATGTTTACAACTAGAAGAGATGAAACTTAAAAAAAAAAAAAACTAACAGAAAACTCATCGCTAAAAATGATTATATCATAAAACGTTTTACATATCTAGTAGAGACGGCTGATATGGGTATGAAAAACACAAAACCAATAACAACGCTTCGACCTCCTGAAGTCATCGTTATTCTAAACCTGATGATGACCTAAGAAGGTCGGAACGTTGTTACTTGCTTTGTGTCTGTAAATAAATGGTTTCAATACCCATGTCAGCCGTCTGTACTATATATATATATATTTACTTCAAGTGGGTTCCTCGTCGTCATGAATAAAATGTTTTTGTTACTTAAACTATTTCAATCTTGTAGAATAAGCTCGAAATAAATCACTAGTTAAACATCAAGTTTTAAGTCTCCTATTGGACACAAAATAATGATTGTACGTTATCCAGTCACGAGACACTCGTTAAGCATGCCTTACAATAATAACTGTACATCAAACAGTGAGTATCTTGTTAGAATGCTTTATAATAAACACGGTACAATGAGTCTCTACACCTCATCCAACATGTTGTAATAAATAAATAGTCATTTTCAAAGCAAATAGCGTCTTGTGATACATAATGGTAATTTTCATAAACATTAGATGTTCTTCTCGTGAACCTAAATAAACATTAGATGTTCTTCTCACGAACCTAAATAATCAGTAGCTGTTTTTCTCACGAACCTAAATAATCAGTAGCTGTTCTTCTCACGAACCTAAATAAACATAGATGTTCTTCTCACGAACCTAAATAATCAATAGATGTTCTTCTTACGAACCTAAATAATCAGTAGCTGTTCTTCTCACGAACCTAAATAAACATTAGATGTTCTTCTCATGAACCTAAATAAATATTAGATGTTCTTCTCATGAACCTAAGTAATCAGTAGCTTTTCTTCTCACGAACCTAAATAAACATTAGATGTTCTTCTCAAGAACCTAAATAAACATTAGATGTTCTTCTCACGAACCTAAATAAACATTAGATGTTCTTCTCACGAACCTAAATAAACATTAGATGTTCTTCTCATGAATCTCAATAAACATTAACTGTTTTCTTCATGTACTTAAATATACATTAGCTGTTCTTCTCAGGAAATCAATAAATATTGGCTGTTATTCTCATGTATCTCATTAAACATTAGCTGTTTTTCTCAGGAACCTCAATAAATATTAGCTATTCTTCTCATGAACCTAAATAAGCATTAGCTGTTCTTCTCAGCTACCGCCTGCCTGATAATAAGTATCAGAGTTTTGCTGTAACCACAATGAACAATGGTGGAGTCTGATGATTAACAGTTTAGTAATGTAACTAAAATAAACAATGATGTTTGTTGCGATTAACAATTTAGTAATGTAACTAAAATAAA